ACTCAAATCTGTGGGTGGGAAGCCTATTGATACCAAGAACACACTGTAATTAGAAGGGAACTTTGTAGTTTAAAAGAACTAGATACTTAATTAAACTCAATGTGTGAAATTCATATTTTCCACTCCTATTCCTGTTCAGGTCCCTCCTTGACAACTTACAAGGCTGAAGTGAAAGACTGCCTCAGTCAAGACAGAGACTCCATTCCTAGGAAGCCTATGATCCACTCACACATGGCTCCTGACCTCCAGGAAGGATGAGCAACAGGGGGCTTGGCAACAAGATGCCCTGCTCATTGCTCCTGGTGCCCCACTGCCTGAGATGATCACCTCATCCAGCCTAACACCAGCACCAAGCCTGCAACTTCCTTCCTGCCCACAGTATTCCTGGGCTTTATCCTCATTTTTGCTTCTGTTCTGCTAGCACCTAGATTCCCACTTTCTTCGTCATTCTGGCTTTCCTTATGTTCACTTTGAGTTCTATCCTGTTGAGGGCCCTGCCTACTTTGTTCTTCACTTCCTTTAGCCTTCCTCATCCTGGCACCCTCCAAATGTTTTCAGCTACAACTCTCATCATTCAGACATTTAGCCATGCTGGGTAGGACTGTCAAGGGACCGTAGTTCAAAGCAGCCAAAAGACGGCAGGCTGGTAAAGGCAGCTTTGTTTCTTCCTTGACCAGCCTGACTATAAAAATGACTGTGTTAACATTTTATTCACATGAAGGCAGAATTCATTTTTATCAGCTGTACACCTGAACAAAACAATTGAGGAGATGCATAGAAAAAAAGGGGTTAGAGAACTGTTTGTTCATTTGTTCAAAGACACTCAGTTTGGGGTTCTAGTAATAACAGTTGTTAAAGAGGAAGTGATACTATTCATGCTGAGATGTATATAATAAACTTATTGGTATTGAAATAAAAGAATGAGGGGGGGAACTGTTAAGATGACTCAAGATGGAAGCTTGACTGGAAGGAATTTCTAGGAGCTGCCTTATTAACATCAAATAGATATTAGGGTGGATCACTCCAATGTGCATGCATTTTGGAAGATCAGACTTGCATACAAATGAGCTTTTAATGAAGTAGTCTCAAAAGGCAGACATAGCTATGCATAGTTCTCACCAAGCCCTCGTTAATATATGCATATAAAGTGAAGGCATCTAATTGCCTAATTTCCCAACTGCTCTTTAACCTATGCAAACTGAACAGCATGGAGACACTTCTTATACCGTTGTGAAGAGAAGGCTAAGAATCTGAAAGAGCATTATAGAAGAGAGCCTTCGCAGTGTCTGCTCCCATCCTCTGGAACTCCTTTCTGTTCTCTTTTTGCTAGCAGGGAAACACTTTTTGTTTAAGCAGGCATTTAATATGTATGTAGGGGAGCTCCTTATTGGGATGTTTTACTTATCTTTTGTATGTCTTTTAAATGATGTTATACTGTTCTATGTAGCAATTTTAATTGTTTTTAAAATTCTATTGAAAAGCTTTTTAAATTGACTCTATCTGGAGGTCACCTTGGTTCCCAATTAGAGAGAAAGGCAGCATACAAATTAAATAAATAAATAAATAAATAAATAAATAAATGTTTTGGTGATCATTGATGGTTTTCTATCTTCCCTTATTCCCAACCCTTTTTATCCTTAAGAGGATGAACTGGCACCACATTTTGGCAAAAGTTAATGTTATGGTAAATCTGGAATGTCCTCCTCAGGCAAAACTAAAACGTTCAGAAATTTCAAGAGAAACGTAAAAAAGAATTTCAAAGAAACTTAAATGAACTATCTTCATTTCTAGGTTGCCAAAGCCTCATCATCCAGGGGAGAAAGATTAAGGTAAAACTTCATGTTGCATTACATATGTAGCGTATCGTCAATAAAAGTGTCATTTTATTATTATGGTGGTTGTTCTAAAAATAAGCAGACATGGTCCTGAGGGGAGGGGAAATATAATTTGGTCTCTCTCTCTCTCTCTCTCTCTTTCTCTCTCTCTCTCACACACACACACAAAAGCACACAGAAACATACATAGAGGGGGTGTAAAAGAAAAAGAAAAAGGCTTAATTATTCCTCTCATTCCTCAAAACCTCAGATGGGGGAGGGATGACAGGAAATAAGAAAAGGGGGTGCTAAATCTCCCTCCCCTGCATTTTTGGGCCCCAGTCAAGTCAGGGGACTGTCTGCTTGCTTCAGAGTAAACAAACAAAGAGAAGGGCAGCTAAACATTGCCAGCTTGACGTAATATGTACTTTACTCTTCCCAGGATGACCAGATGTCATAACCACAAAGGAGGACAAGGCACTGCAAATGTCAGTCATTCAAGAAAAATGGAGGACATTACCAAATAAAAGCTAAAAACACCAATATAAATATAAATTCATTTCATATAATTTATATACAGCTACAATAAATATACTGTATTTTATTATGTAGGTAAAAGGTAAAGGTAAAGATATTTCCTGTTGACAAGGTTGTCAAGTCGTGTTCGACCATAGGGGGTGTTGCTCATCTCTGTCACTAAGCCAAAGATCATATGTGATCATATGGCCAGCATGATTGCACAGAATGCTGTTTACCTTC